ACACACACACACACACACACACACAGATATATATATATATATATATATATATATATTTATTTATTTAATTATTATTATATAAATAATAATTACAAAAAATAAGTTCAGTGAACTTGACAATTCACTTAACTTATTTTTTTTATTATTATTTTCTTAATCGTTTTAAGGCAACGGGTTTCCTCAATTTTTTAAAGTGAATTCAACATCACTTTTTACAGTGTACATACATACATACGTTTATTTGCAAAAACAAAGTTACAGATAACTCCACTTTTAACAATTTACAAAAAAAATTTTTTTTTTAAATTGTGCATTCCAATTAATCTCAATTAAAACGCAGTTGTCATTTTGATTAGGTAAAAAATAACTAAAAAATACTAATAACTAACACAATAAAAACATAACAATTAAAAAAACATTATATGTGTGTACATATACACACATACAGGGGAAATCATACACATATATATATATATATATATATATATACACATGTGTGTGTGTGTGAGAGAAACCTCTCTGTTGTTATACATGTAGTCAAGCATACCTGAAGACCTTGCACACGTGACCTTGTAATGGCTTTTTTTTGTGTCCACTTGCTGTACCACAAAAGTACAAACAACATATCTTTTTTCAATTAAACCAAAAAAGAAAGAAAGAAAAAAACAAGAAAAGTATTACATGACAGTTGGTTTAAAGATAAAACGTGAAAGACTCAAAGCACAAATTCGTTAAAGTTTGCGGCTTGCCGTTTTTTTTTATAAAGACGTAAAGCATGTGCGGCGAAAAATAATTCCTTAGAATGAGATCAGCTGACACGTCAGACCGGAGCGCTCATTTGCGGCTGGTTGATCGTCAAGAGAAGCGTCAGTAAGCAACCAGTCGTGACCACGGTCATTTGACAGCTTTAATTGGGATAAACCCACCTAAAACTCCAATCAAGAATAGTCATATGAATACATTCATAATAATAATAAAATTATGTAATTATGCAGCGACTGGCTGCCTGGCAGCTGGCAGTACACTATCGGGAACCATTGATTTATGGCAGATTTATGTGTTTTGCTCTCTTTCCACTGTAGCTAGGGGAATAAAATTATTGGAATGCCTTAGAAGAGGCGGCTGTCTGAGCGGCCAGTGGAAGCGACAATCAGCTGCCAGTTGGGATCATGGCCATTTGGGCACTTTATTTGTAATAAGCCTCTATAAAATGTCGACAAATTAAAAGACTAGACCCATAAGAATATATTAATAATCATAAAATAATATATTTCCTTGTAGAGAGAGTGGTAGAGAATGCGTTAAACTCGGAGCGCTCTTGCGGCTGTCTGATTGAGCAGCCAGTGGAAGCAACAATAACCAAAGCAGTTGGGATCACGGTCAGTTAAAAACTTTAATCGCGCTAAAATCCTCTAAAACATCAACCATGTAAAAGTAAAGAACTGAACAGGTTCACAATAAAAAAATTGCACAGACCAAAACAAAAAATCTGCCGAAAATTTATGGTTGCTGAAACTTAAGGCATACAGCCAGCCAGCCAGCCAGCCACTGAAAGGTCACGTGACCTGCAACTGGCCGCGGCCACCAACCACTGACAGGTCACGTGACTTGCCACTGGCAGCTGCCACCAACCACTGGTGGGTCACGTGACCTGTGATTCTTTTTGAACTACATGTTGGAAGAAAATTACTAATAAATCACCAAATTTTGTCTTAAAATTAAGGAACGGAGCATAAACTTTTTTTATTGCAATTGTTGTAAAAAAAAACTAAAAATCAATGTGACAAAAAATTTGTGATATTGAGTGAGGTGAGACTCATTATTAAACAATATATTTATTTCCACAACCTGAACAGGTCAAGGATGAGGAGGCGTTTGTGAGGAAATTAGGCTGTAGGCCTGAGGAGCTCTTGAAGGTGGTGTCCATTTTCGGCAACACTGGAGAAGGCAAATCTCACACCCTCAATCACACTTTTTTTTTGGGTCGTGAAGTTTTCAAGACATCTCCAACCCAGGAATCCTGCACTGTCGGTGTGTGGGGAGCACTGGACCCTCTTCATAAGGTGGTGGTTGTTGACACAGAGGGATTTCTGGGGGCAGGAACTAACCAAGGACAGCGAACCCGCCTGCTCCTGAAGGTGCTCGCAGTCTCCGATCTGGTCATTTATCGGACACATGCTGACAGGCTACATGATGATCTTTTCAAGTTTCTTGGAGATGCATCAGATGCGTATCTAAAGCATTTCACGAAGGAGCTGAAAGCCACAACTGCACGCTGTGGTTTGGACGTGCCCCTTTCAACTCTGGGTCCTGCCGTTATAATCTTCCATGAGACCGTCCACACCAAGTTATTAGGCTCAGGTCAGTTTACTAAGTTTTGGATGTTTTCCATTTTGCTGTCGTTCTCACCCAACAAGTTAGGAATGACTTTGAAATAGATAAGGTAAGAAGTATACTTCTCTTTCACACCCCCTGTAGACAAGCCATCAGAATCAGCCGAGCGGCTTCTTCAGGAACGTTTCCGAAAGCTTGGCCTCTTTCCGGAAGCATTCAGCTCTATTCAGTACCGGGGCACTCGAACCCACAACCCCCCGACTGACTTCAGCGGTCTGCTGCGCAGTGTGGAGCAGCAGTTAGACAACAACACTACACGATCTCCACGGTCTGCTGGTGTCATCTACAAAGCCTTGCAGGTATTCTTTTTTTTTTTGTCATTGATAAGCTCAATAACACTTTTAGCTTATCGATGACATGAAAGTGTGTAAATTGTAATGTACAGTAGTTTGTGTGGCTGATCAAGCTCTTGTTCTCCAGGCTTTGAGTGAGTGCTTCAGTGGAGAGATTCCTGATGAGCATCTGGCAAGCAACTCTTTTTTTCCAGATGAATACTTTACCTGCTCCAGCATCTGCCTCAGCTGTGGGTAAGTCTTCATATCTCAGGAATCACTGCACTTCTGATTTCAAATCTGTTTAGCATTTCTAAAGCAACACTCACATAGAAGTTCATACACTCTCTCTCTCTCTACAGTTCAATAGTTTGGGGTCAGTAGTCTCTTAAGTTCACCAAAGCTGCATTCATTTAATCAAAAATACAGTACAAATGGTAATATTGTGAAATATGATTACATTTTAAAATAACTTTTTTTTTTTTATTGTACCATATTTTAAAATGTAATTTATTCCTGTGATGGCAAAGCTAAATATTCAGCAGCCATTACTCCAAATTTTTTAACATTGTACTGTCTTTCACTTTCGATCAGTTGAATGCATCCTTGATGAATAAAAGTTAATTTCTTAAAAAAAAAAGAAAAAATCTTACTGACCCCAGACTTTTAAATAATTGTTTCTGTTAAATAACATTGTCATATTAGCAATTTGGTTCAAAGATTCAGATGGAATCTTTGACTGTTTTTTTTATGCCATTATGAAAAACAAAAATGAAATTAAATATGGTATATATATATATATTATATATTATGAGATTGATTCAATTAGCTAAAGAACTTAAGAGGTTTCTATGTGAAAAATTCCATGTGGGCCTATTCTCTTCAAATGATTGTAAAAAAAAAAAAAAATATATATATATATATATATATATATATAGTGAGAGAGAGACATTGCCCTAAAGGGTTCTGAGATGTCCCTGAGCAACATTTAAGCATGTAAAATTAATATTTTAACACCCAAAGAAAGTTCTTTTTTTTTGCATACACTTTGAGAACTGGTTTGTGTGAATCATTTAAAAGAATTGGTTCAATGGAGTTATTTGTATGGCTCCACACAGGTGGCTAAACTAGTGATTAGATGTTTGATTATACTAGTTTTGACTGTTCTGAATTACTTATTTAAACAAATGTGAATTTTTTTTAGCTCTGGCTGTAAAAACAGCATGAATCACCTACGAGAGGGTGTGGCACATGAGGCTAAACACCGCTGCCGCTATTCAGCACACTATGACAATCGCATCTATACCTGCAAGGTAGGTCGTAAACAATGCAGCACGTGACCGGACCCTAAAGGCTACACGAGCTTTGTGACTGCCCAGGTCTGACATTGTGTGTTAACCTGCTATTCCAGGTTTGTTATGAGAGTGGCAAAGAGGTGATTGTGGTTCCAAAGACAACAGCATCCTCTGACTCACCATGGTTTGGCTTGGCCATATACGCCTGGTCTGGGTGAGTCGTGTCATTGAATTATAGTCGTATAAGGTGCATTTAGTTCAGTTCATTTAGACATACAGGACTAAGTTGGGCTTTTTCCTTTGCAGATATGTGATCGAGTGTCCAAACTGTTCGGTGATCTATAGAAGTAGGCAATACTGGTATGGGAACCAGGACCCTGTTGATACAGTGGTTCGGACTGAGATCCAGCATGTCTGGCCAGGGGTGAGCGTTATCTGCCATTTATGCCACGTTTCTACCATTTAAATAGCAAAAAGAACAAGCTTTGTTTACCTTCACATTTACGTCTCAGTCCGACGGATTCCTGAAGGACAACAACAATGCTGCGCAGAGGCTGCTGGATGGTGTGAACTATATGGCTCAGTCTGTTTCAGAGCTAAGTGTCAAGCCTGCCAAAGCCGTCACTGCCTGGTTAACAGACCAGATTGCCCCTGTTTACTGGAAGCCCAATTCTCTCATCATTGTGAGTTTTAATGCTAGGCAATTTTAATGTGCCTTTTGAATGAAGAGAAGTCTTCACTAAAACACTAAAACTTTTTCCAGAGATGTAAAAACTGTGGAGAGGAATTCCAAGATAATGATACAAAGCACCACTGTCGGGCCTGTGGAGAAGGTTTCTGTGATGGTTGCTCCTCTAAGACACGGCCAGTCCCTGAGAGAGGTTGGGGCCTGGCACCTGTGCGAGTCTGTGACGTCTGCTTTCAAAACAGAGGAATCCCAGAAGGTATCGCCGAAGAATTTAAGATTTTAAGTAACATTTTATTTTAATATATTAAAATTACTCATGTGATGGCAAAACTGAATTTTCAGCAGCCATTACGGTCTTTAGTGTCACATGACAATAAAGACGGCTCAAAAGCATTATTATTCATGTTGAAAACAGTTTGATAAAATCTTGGATGAATAGAAAGTTCAAAAGAATGTTTATTTAAAATCTTTTGAAACATTATCAATGTCTTTACTGTCACTTTTGAGTGAAAGAAGGGCATATGGCATTAGAACACCACCAGGGTCAGTAAATCGTGACAATTTAAATTTTTGGCTGAACTATCCTTTTAATGCATCCTTGCTTAATAAAATTCTTAAATCTTACTGGTACCAAACTTTTGCATAGTAGTGTTATGCAGTACTGTAGGGCTGTCTGCCACTAACGACTATTTTTATTTAGATTAATCTGTCGACTAATTTACCGATGAATCAACAATTTTACTTAAGAATATTGTATTCAACTATATTTCATTAAACCAAATGAAATCCAAAAGTAAAAAAGTAAAGTGCAACAAAGTGCAAGCAGCAAGTGTCCATCTCATAGTCCAAATCACTGAAATCAAAGTTCAGTATTATAGTGTAAGAATGACAACATATCCACGTGTTCTAGTCTACTAATAATAAAATTATAATCAAAAAACACTTTTTAAAATGAGTATTTACCAGAAATATTATTTACCAGAATTGATTTAGGAGAAAAATGTAAATGTGCAGTATTCCTGGAAAAAAAAAAAACTTTTTTTTTTTATAAAATCAATTAATTGGAGATGCTTTTGATTATTAAAATTTAATGGAATCATTAAAATGGAATCCAGAAAATAATGGAAAACAGAATTTGGTAAAGATAAAACTGTAAAACTCTTAATTAGACAGGCGTTTGATTAATAAAATGTTATTTAACCATTAAAAGAGAGTATAGAAAAATGAAAATGGAAAAAAATTAATTTGGAAATAAAACGGAAATAAAACATAGTGCCCTATAATTATAATAATTTTTTTTGTGGTATTAAAAATAGATGTAAGTGACCAATAGCCTTTAAAATGACTTAAAATACATATATAATAGCAACGAGGCAATAATAATTAGTTCAAATAAAGTATCAAAAGCAAGAAATCATATGGTTTTATTGAACAAAATTGTTAAAATACATAATGTATTATAAACAATAGAGCTAATGTACATTGCGCATTACAACAAAGGCCTATTGGAGAGCCGGCAGGGGGTGCCAACGGCCTGGTGATTATTTTTACACATTACTGTGCGATTTAATCCTCGTTTAATATTGACCAAGAACCATTTCATTCAAATGTCCACTTAATCTTTAATATTTGGCCATATGTTTAGGACAGAAATGCTATAGCCACTGTAATTAAATGAATATGTGGACATCAAAACGTGTAAACTCAAGAGTGAGGGTTTGAGCTTATTTTGAAACCGGGATGTTTTCTCCTGTGTTTGCGTAGATTTATAAATTATTTACCTTACAAATCTGATGAAATGGCGCATGTTGCGTTCCCAGATGAACATTATAATTAACCCAAACTCACAACAACATGCAGAGATGGAGTTTGAGACGCTCCACACATGTAAATGATAACAGTTCCTGTGGAACTACTGTGAACGGAGCTGCTGTGTGACGCAAGTACATAATTAAAGCGCATATACTTTATATTAGAACTGCATCGCATATAATTATTTAATTAAATCGTAGCGTTTGTGAAATCACAATTATGCTTAATTATTTTGAAATGGGTTTAATATCATGCAGCCTTGGAAAACAGACTAAAAATGTGTTTTATACATTCTCGTCTGTGAAATGCGCCACTTCCGGTATTTTGCTGGTTAGTCGACGCGAGCCAAATGAAGTTGAGGATTTAAAAAAAATCGAATAGTTAAATAAAATCGACGAATCGCAACAGCCCTACTGTACTGTGCATATACACTGCCGTTCAAAAGTTTGGGATCAGCAAGATTTTTATTACTTTTTAAAGAAGTCTCTTCTGTTTATCAAGCCTGCATTTATTTGATCAAAAATACAGAAAAACATTAATATTGTGAAATATTATTACAATGTTCTATTTTAATATACTTTCAAATATAATTTATTTCTCTGATGCAAAGCTCAATTTTCAGCATCATTACTTCAGTCTTCAGTGTCACATGATCTATCAGAAATCATTCCAATATGCTAATTTATTATCAATGTTGGAAACAGTTTTTGCTGCTTCATATTTTTCTGGAACCTGTGGTTCTTTTTTCTTATGATTCTTTGATGAATAAAAAGTTAAAAAGAACAGCATTTATTCAAAATAGAAATCTTTTCTAACAATATAAGTCTTTACTGTCACTTTTTAATCAATCAATTTAACACATCTTTGCTGAATAAAAGTATTAATTAAAAAAAAAAAATAGCAAGAAAGAAAATACTGACCCCAAACTTGTAAACGGTAGTGTATATTGTTACAAAAGATTTCTATTTTAAGTAAATGCTGTTCTTTTTTACTTTTTATTCATCAAAGAATCCTGAAAAAAACATCACAGGTTCCATAAAAATATTAAGCAGCAAAAACGGTTTCTAACATTGATAATAAATCAGCATATCAGAATGATTTCTGAAGGATCATGTGACACTGAAGACTGGAGTAATGATGCTGAGGACAATTCAGCTTCGATCAAAGGAATACATTTTATTTTAAAGTATATTAAAATAGAAAACAGGTATTTTAAATTGCAATAATATTTCACAATTTTACAGTTTTTTTTATCAAATAAATGCAGCCTTGATGAGCGCAAGAGACTTCTTTAAAAAAGCAAATTCTTACTGATCCCAAACTTTTGAACGGCAGTGTACATATTATAATAATTTCAAAACTAATGAAGAAAGAAGCTCAAAAGTGATTGCTTTATCATAATCTACTGTGCTTTATCAAATCATTTATATCTCAAATAACTCCTTGCTAAATAATGTCAAAAACACAAACAATGCATGATTTACACAGGTTTGAATAATTCTGAAAGTACTACACCCATGGCGTCAGATACTGGTGCAACATGTTGTGACATAAACATGCAGTATTTCAATCCATAATATGAATAATATTAAAACTGGTCTTACACAGAACTACTGGATGCAGCGCTGGAAGAGGAGCAAGGTGGGACTCTGATCGCCAGAAGGGTGGGAGAAGCTGTTCAGAACACATTAGGAGCGGTAGTCACTGCTATAGACATCCCTTTTGGTGAGTTCTTCACTCCTCTAAGAGCCTATAAAAATGTTAACATGATTGTATGTTAATACTAATATGAACACACACTGGAAATACTGTTGAGTGTCAATCTATTATAATGTTTACTAATAATAAACCTGTGGTTTGTTCAAGTAACTCTTTCTGTGATCTTTAGGATTAAGCATTTTCATTTCAGAACAGTTACATACTTGTGCAGGAATATCTCAGCGTATATAAATGATCAAATGCATTTACTAGGTTTGGTAAAAGATGCCGCCCGTCCAGCATATTGGGTCCCTGACCAAGACATTCACTGCTGCCACCAGTGCCAGCGTGAGTTTAATGCCCGTCTCTCCATCCATCACTGCCGTGCGTGTGGACAAGGAGTATGTAACGACTGCTCCCCTGATCGCCTGGCCGTGCCCTCCAGGGGTTGGGACCATCCTGTGCGGGTGTGCATCACCTGCAGCCAGAAATCTGAAGAGCTCTAGCAGAGCCGAACATCACTCCACATTATAGGACACCCTCGTATTTGGCCACAGTGCTTCAGAACAGGTTGGGAAGGAAGAAGCACTGCTCTCGAACCAATGAATGATTGTTTGAGAGGAACATCTCTGCCTTTTGTTCCAACACTTCATTCACATCATGCTCCTACATAAGCTGTTCACAGTTTAACATGTATTGGCCTATGTAACTTCTTCTTTTAAAGGTTAAATCCAGCAGGAAAATAAATGTGTCAAACCCTCGGCAATCCTTTGTCTACCATGCAATATGTTACCTGTGGGCAGGCCCAGATGGAATGAAAGTTTTTGGGAAAATCTGCAGAATGGGTTTAAACAAGGTAGAAAAAAAAGAAGAAGTGTTAAACATGATCAAAAGGTACAAAATATGAATTATGTCCATTTTATTTCTGGGACTGCAGATCCATATGGGCCTTCCTGTGGGTAAAGGCAGCTAACATAATGGCCTCTACGTGATACATAGACCGGTGCACAAATATGATTGTTTACCATCCTGTTGTGTTATTCAATTTTAGGAAAAATTTTCCCTGTTCATTTGCTTTTACCTGTTTAAAACCCAAGATTGTCCATATTGTTTAGCATTCCTTTACCAGCCAAGACCCCCCCTAGTGTAGATTTTAGATTAATTCCTATTTGTTTCTATTATTTGCCTATTATGGAACAGATCTGGCATGATCATGCTAAACTATCAGATGTTGTTCAGCATAATTCTTTATCATTTATTTTAAATGTGTGTACTCGAGCAGGACGTTTTTGTTTTAAGGTTTTAAAAACTGACCTTTTTAATGAATCAGTACCACTGTTGCCGAATCAAACTGCATAGTGACTCTTAACACAATGCCGGTATTTGCTCTTATTTAGCCCCTGGTATGTGTTATGATCACTGTCAGTTAAATTGTTTTCTTGGCCAAATGAACACTCGTTATGTAGAATCAGGTTATCGTAGACTCGGTGAGCCATCATGTGTGGCTGACCGAACATGACTGACAGACATAAGAAACATGAACATCATTTTATGTTCTTTGCACCTTGTATGCTAATTAAACTTGAGTACCTCTAAGAGTGTGGCTTAAATATAAAAATGTGTAAATGCATATTTGTACTTAAAGGGACAGTGCACCCCCCCCTAAAATAAATAAATAAATAATAATTTTGCCCCCCCCCCCAAAAAACCCTGTGGTTGTCATTTACTCACCCTCATGTTGTTCCAAACCTGTATGTTTTTAAAATAAGATATTTTGATTTTTTTTTTCCCCTCATAAAATGAGTCAATGGGGTCCAACGTTGTCATTGTATGAACAAAAACAGTTAAAACATTAAATTCATGTTGGGATTTGAACTAAAGATACAGATAAACAAAGTTTGGATTTATTTTGAACATTGAAGAATGGTTTCCCCCTTTTTTTTTTTTTTTTTTTTTTACAAAAAGTTCCAGCAAAATGTTTCCCCAAAAGAAAAACAAAACAAAACATGAAATTGCACTTTTAGGAGGTATGTTTCAAGTGACTATAATTTAGATGTATCTAAAAATCTTTTACAAAAATCCATCTATTGATGATATAACGGACAAGTAGTATTCTGAATCCATCATAGTCTAATCCAGAATATATTAAAAAAAAAAAAAAAAAACTAAAGGCAAATGGTAAAATGGCAACATTGCGGTCAGTAGGACACAGTAACAATGCCAACAGATGTATTTTTCACACAGCAGCCTGATTTTGGTTTTTAGATGTTAACTGTTAGCACTGACCCTCCAGTGTTAGTCCATCCTGATAGTCTTTGTTGTAAGAGTAGTAGTACAGATCATGACGAACAGCCATCAGGAGTCCAGGAAGTCCTCTACTCCCACCCAGCTGGGAGGAAAACACCACATTTGGGATGGAGTCTTTCCCTGCAGGGTGAGGTGAGGGGATGGTCCTGAGGAGACGGCTGTCGTGGAGGCTCCAGAGCCGGGTGTAGCAGTCCTGACCCACTGCAAACAGCACACAATGAGATGTGGTACAAGCATTGCGATTGCACTGAACTGAAACGGGTTTATATGAAAAAGATGTACCAGCAAGCAGCAATCCTTCTGGCTCATTGACATGAATGGGTAGGTAGGCATATTCATTGTGGTGTCCTTCATACTGTTTGACGGACCGCTTAACGCGGATGTCCCACAGCTTTATCTGTTCAGTGACAATTACGAAGGGAGAATAAAAATAGGATCATTCAAAGCTCTAAATTTTTATTAATAGCACGATGGTATGTAGTCATTTTAGTTGCTTATCATAGACAGACCTTGCCCAGCATGTCAGCGGCGAGGAGGTAGTTCTCATCCTGTAGCAGTTGGATGGAGGTGATGGCTGACTCCTGGAAGAAGCGGCTGGTCTTCCAACCGTGACTGCGACCCCTGTCACGCTGACGCAGGTCAATGCTGAAGATCTCTCCTGATCGACAGCCGTTGAACAGCACGGGAGCCTAAAATACGAGGAACATGGCACAAAGTGTCACACATATCTTTGCTCACATGCATAAAGTAAAAAAAAAAACTTGAGAATATTTACAAAAGCTTTCCCCTGCAGAATGTTATTAAGAGTCAAAAAACCCTGATTCCTTGTCAAATTAGAAAGACTTCCTAATTTTACCAAATACATGTGTACAAGGGATAAATACAAATTTTGTAAACTAGATAACTGTTAGCTATTGGTTTTTGATAAATATTTTGATAAACCAAAAACTGCCATTCACTATAACTTTTACAATCCGGGAGAGTTTAAACATGCTGTAGAAGATATTTTTTTATTAATAAAGGATATAGATATACACACACACACATTTTGCTTGAACTTTGTATTTAGGGCTATTACACATTTCAAAAGGTGCACTCTTTTTTTTGTGTGTTGTCGACTTGGACTTGTTCTTAAATTTAGTGGTATAGATGCAGCATTACACAAATCATTCATTTCTGTAAAACATTTTAATGAGGTAAAAAATGACAGAGCACAATTAAATTATAGTAAAATTGAGGAAGACTGGGAAGTAGGAGGAGACAGAAAGTGACAGACATGATGCAGGTTAGATTGAAACTACAAGCATATGCTCTACCACTGCGCAATGGCCATGACTTCAAGGTTGGGATGAAAAATCATTGTTCTTTTCTCACCCTCACGGCAAACTGTTGAGCTAGAACATCACTGCCTGCAAGGTATGTCGCTCTACGTCCGGTCACAGCATCCGTCACAATCACTCGTCGTGAAAGGCCTAGGTATACAAAAAAAACTTCAATAAATATATATATATATATATATATATAAAAACTGTAAATTGTAATAGCTGTTGCAATATTACTGTTTTTACTGTATTACTGGTCAAATAAATGTAGTGACCATAATTTTCATTCCAACAACATATTGTAGAAACACATACAAACAAGGAGTCAAAAACTCACCAGTGCTGAAGGTTTTATCAGCCTGTGGGTTGAGGCACCATGCACATGACCAAGCTGTGGAGATCTTAAAACTGCACAGCATCCCTGGTTGATCTGATGAAAAAAGTCATTTCAGTTTAATAAAGCGAAAACAAATAAAAAGTGTTTTTAAATTAGAAATGTGGGAGACCCAAAAGGAAATGATTTGTACCTGGATTGAAGTTGCTGAAAAGAGAAGCAGGTAATAAGCTTACACAGCCTGGGGTCTGAGAAATACCCACCAAACACAACCTGAAAAGACTTGTCAAGAAACACTTCCTCATGGCTTAGAGATGTTTGTGACTTTTTGGTGATTGATTAATAGTCATTAATAGAGTAAATATGCAAGTATGCTCCTATTGTAATGACATAGGTTATGCACTTTTTAACAATTAACAGTGAAATCTGAATGAAGAAAGACTAAATGTATTAAAATTAAGATGATATTAACCACCTTCACATATGTTTTGTGGTAATGTTAACAATTAATTGACCATTTATTTTATTGGCCGCTGGTTATGAAAATTCCTGAAAACTGACACCCCATTAGCGTTTATTTAGTAAAACCACAATCCAGATCTTCAGTTTCAAAATAAGCATACAAATAATTGAAGATTTCGTTTTTAGAACCTGAAATGTTTGAAGGATACAGAACATGCGAGTCTGTATGTGTCACAGAGGCCCAGCATACAGAGTTCACCTGAAACAAAATTAAAAGGAAATAGTACTATGAAACAACTTATTTTTGCTGAAAGGAATTCATTTTAAATTTCTCAGGTTACCTTGCGGTTAGTAAAATAAAGGTTATCGCACATCTCCACCGACAGAGAGCCCTTTCTGCAGCCATGGAAATTCATTATGCCATACTTGCAGCCTCCGTGCGACACATCGTTTACGGTGAAGACTCGTTCACAAGCTGAATCGGCCTAATAAGATGCATCCAGAAAAAAGGAAAACACAGTCAGATTGAAACCACAATCACTGCCAAAACGTAATCTTCCTTCTGCTAGTTTTTCAAAGAACAGACAACTGGAGGCCAAAACCTCCAGTAACACCTGCCAGCAGCAATCCATTTCCATGAAAAAACAAAAACAAGTTGCCTGTCCTCAGCATAACATGCTGTTTTTATACTGAGAACACATTTAAATGGACTGAGTTGCCACAGAAATCAAGTTGTATGTTTTTCCATTAAATGAGAGGCTTACAACAATGAGATGGAAGTTATCGGTGTTTGGGCTGGTGGAGTTGGAGCTCTGCACCCCCAGCCTGTGACGCTGCATCCCGCTTACTTTCACTTCATGGACCAGCCTGCATAATGAGAACACCCTTGGAATCAAATTCATATTGGGATCCATTTCTTTCCCTAGTAAATTACATTCTGAAAAAAAAAAGTTGTGTCCACAAGATATTTTATGTCATACCTAGAATAGGAGCTTGGGGGCAGCAGACCCAGATGTCTCTTCTGTAACAGCAATGCAGAATTCAGCCCAGTCCTGGGAGCTTTCTGAACATATTAGGATGAAACAAGGAAGACGTGAATCACCTGCACATTTCTACACAATGATTTATTACCGACAAAACCCATCCAAATTGTCCATAAAACATCCATCGAATTCTCTCAAAGAACTTTATAGTTGAAATTTAGTGCAAAATGTGATACAAGCAGTGAGGACTGTCCATATAAACTACATTTACGTACAGAGGACATATTCAGTACTTCCCCAACTCACCTTCCTAGAACCATCATCCTCTGCCAGCAGCGCAGATCTCTTTCTCTCCTCTTCCTTTTTCTGGAGCCCTTCTTTTGTCAGAGGGTTACAGTTGTTGTGTCCAGGCAACAAACGAAAGTAGCGGTTCTTCTCTGGGTCAAAGTAGAAACCTGGCAGCTCTATAAATAATAATGGTTAATGGCTAAATGAAGAATTCTCTCAAAGAACTTTATAGTTGAAATTTAGTGCAAAATATGTGATACAAGCAGTGAGGACTGTCCATATAAACTACATTTACGTACAGAGGACATATTCAGTACTTCCCCAACTCACCTTCCTAGAACCATCATCCTCTGCCAGCAGCGCAGATCTCTTTCTCTCCTCTTCCTTTTTCTGGAGCCCTTCTTTTGTCAGAGGGTTACAGTTGTTGTGTCCAGGCAACAAACGAAAGTAGCGGTTCTTCTCTGGGTCAAAGTAGAAACCTGGCAGCTCTATAAATAATAATGGTTAATGGCTAAATGAATGAATTTGGACTGATAGGACAGAAAGCTGAGCAGAGAGATAATGAAAAGTAAAAGTTCACCTGGTGCAGATGAGGATGCTGTGGATGAACCTGCATCACCTGCTGCGCTTTCAGATCTAGAAAAAGGACTAATGTTCATGGCTAATATAAAGTTAAATACAAGCCTAACTGAAAATAATCCAAATAAAATTTGACCGGAAGGAACTGAACTGCCAAAACCGCTGACTCTAGGTCTCAATACTTTAGTATTCACCCTCATGTTGTTTCAAACCTGTATGACTGTCTTTTGTGGAACACAAAAGGAGATGTTATGCAGATTGACAGCATTCACTTTGACTGCATCTTTTGTCCATACAATGAAAGTGAATATTACTGAGGCATTCTTTCTGCTTGACATCACCTTTTGTGTTCCCCAGAAGAGCTCAAACAGGTTTGCAACAACATGAGGGCGAGTAAATTACATCATTTTCATTTAAAGGAGCATCTAGGTGAAAATTGATAGACTCAATCTGTGTTAGTTACCTATATTCGTGCTCATCGTGGGCTGAACGGTGTCTGCTCCGCCACTGTGACTGACTGTGCTGTCGATGACGGTCCCTGCCACTCGATCGCCAGTTCCCCCGCTTCATTTCTACTTCCCAGGGGTCATGTCAGATTAATGCCTTTAAATGTAAATAATGAGGCAAAATTATGTATTCATTTTTGGTTTTAGCACATATGAAGAAAAACCTAAACTTTTTGGAGTATTATTAAGAAACTGAGCAGTGATGAAAAGCACTGATTTGTTATGGAGCTGAACAAGGAGCTAACATGCTAAGACTACTATTATGAACACGCACGTGGCTAATTCGTTTATGTTAACGGTTACTCCTGCAGAAGAGAACTCACGTTAATATATTTATTGATCGCTGAAATAACTTGTAAACTTCATGTAAAAACGGAGAGTCATAATAAACATACCCGATAAAGATGCACTCGTGCTGACTTCTTCCTGTTTGGAAATACGATTTGAGAACACCAGGGAATTCCCGCCTCCTTACTGTTCATTGGTGGAACCCTGAGACTTGAAATAATGTGACTGGATAATGAGCTGTCAATCACGTCAGAGGTTGTCTCGTTGACATACACTACAGAAACATACACGAAGCTAAAGGGATGAATAAAAATATAAATAGTTCTAATTAGCAAGATGTAAATGTGTTTTAATGATGATCGTTGTATGTATTTATATTTAAAAGAAAAACGGATAAAAAAAACAATATAGGTACAAAATATATAAAGATAGCCTATATACTGTTTATTTACATTGTCAATTATATTACCATATGATATTGTTAATTAATTAAATTAAATTTTTGTATTTAAAATATGCTCTATACAAATCACCAAGCACAATTATGTACCAAACTGCAATAATACAATTAAAATAAAAAATCTAGTTAAAATTGACTTAATTCTGTTGCTGAATGTAAAACAACACATGCAGTTTGCATAAATAGCGTTACTTTATCTCTTCAATTTACCAAGCAAGTAGTCTTAAGCAGGGTTTAAATTGGGCCGGGGCCGTCCGGGGTTTGAGCCCCGGCACATAGACTCCAGGGCTCGACTTTAACGCTTCATTAACGCCAGACAAAGTAAGCATGCTGAGGTAAAAAATCTAAATGAAAAGTTTTCATATTTAAAATACAGTTAGTTAGGCAACATCACACAACGTTTTCACCATTACGACTGTTTAATAGTTCAATAAACAGTTCAATAAACAAATACAATAATATTAGGTCACTTACATTTTAGGCGGAACCACAGGGCATCTCACAGAAACCAGCAGATTCATTGCTGAATGATTCCGTGTTCTGAACGAATCGGTTGAGTCAAAGTTTCATTAAGCCCATGCATTAACATCTGATGAATCAGCCGTTTGAACGAATCGATTGAGTTAAAGTTTCATTAGGCCATGCATAAACATCTGATGAATCAGCTGTTTGAACGAATCGATTGAATGAACAACTCAGTGACTCACTCATTACACGCTCACTACTGGCACCTACTGGCGTTTTAATTTAGTTTAAAAGTATAATTTTCACCATCATTTCTTGTTTGTATAATACCAAAAAAATATTTAAAACAGTCTCATAACATTATTCAATGCAATTGTATTTTTTCAGTGTAAATTATTTAATTTGATAACGTAGAGATAACAATAATCGCATTATTATAATTGAATTTATAGATGAAATGTAAGAATTTGAAATGAAAAATGAAGTATTAATGAGGTTAGGTAAAAAATGCCCTAGGATTAAATATAAAAAACATGCAGATTTATACATCACAGCTGATAGAAAACTGATAAGAATATTGCTTCAGAATAAATCATACTTTATGATTTTGTTTAAATATATACGGTATATATTTACAGTATATACACTGTAAATATTACAGTATATACACCCCCCACCATATCAAATCCCAATTTAACCCCTGGTCTTAAGTAAAGATGTTGAAATAATTTTTATAATTTTGACAGCTCTCAGAAGCCACGCCCAGATTCTGATTCCTAGTATTGTATTGGCCAGACTGCCGGACACTGAGGCTCGTATTGGCTGTTTTTCTTTCACAAGGTTCCCAAAGAACTCAGAGATTTGGAATATTGGGTTACAGTGTGGCAAAATGGCGACTGTCATTCAGAATCCGCTGAAAGCGTAAGTAATTATAAACATTATTTTCGCTCGTTTTCGATAATGTACTGTATTCCGCATGGTTTAGAGCGTGGGTGCAAATCGAGTCTCGAAATAGGAATGTATGGACCGTACATTTTGTATTTCAGGGAATTCTGTCCCAAACGAATAACTGTTTACGTTAATCCATGCAGTTTCTCTTTGTGTGGGTGTGCAATGTGTATATACATATGTAGATACATTAGAAGCGTTGTGTTCGGACATTCATTCTGAAAAATATGCAATATGTGTGTCTCAGCATTCAGGCTCTGATGGTCAGTGTTAGTGCAGCATTATTTCGGATGCAATGCTTTGAGAGTGTAACGTTACACACTCCGTTGACTTCTTTGCAGGACACCTAGATAAAGCCTCGGCCATATATGAAATATGTCGGGATGAGCTGTCATATGACTACAGGAGCGCGCTGTATGTCACGATAAACAACTTAAAACGTAAAATAGTAATTTAAAGATGCAGGTGCAACGTGCTGATGTAAATTGATTATATGTTTCGGTTGCATTATTGTTTTAAAAATGCCTATAAGATGATATCGAATAATTTCCCCATTGTGGCCTATGGAGAACTGGCAGACCCTGTCACATACACATTGAGTATTGGAAAGTGGCAAGAACGAGTAAAACATGAAATATGTTAATTTCCCATAAGAATTAACTTTCTCTAACGCATATACAGCTTTCAGTTGTGTCAAGTCCCTTCGTTTTTGTACACCCGCGTGATAGTAAACATTACATCGGAAATGGTTTGATATGAGATATACATTGATATCTGCGTCGTGTCGGGTGAATAAACGCCGTTTTATTTGTGATGACATATTATAGTGATATAAAAAACAGGCTAACAATAATGAAGTCAAGATATAAGTGATGAATAACAATGGAATTCACTGTCCTGTTCTCTGTGTTTTGTCTGTTGATGTGCATGTGACAGAATTCCAGGTTCTCTTACATTACATTCATTAGAGCTTTAAGAAGAGGTCAGAAGGGTTTGTCCTTATTACTGGCAACCTTTTGGTTTTAACTGAGTAGTCCTGATGTGGAACTTTGTAGGAATTGGTTTTAAATATTTGATGGAGAAAGAAAGGATTTACTTCCGGTGTGATGTCTAATAATCATTAATCTTGACATTAATAAAGCAAATACATGTCACCGTTTGAATTTCACATATGCATTTATCTTATGCTATTCCTACATTAAATAGTGAGTGGACAAAATTTGGAATATTTGCAGTTCTGCAGGCATTTAAAAGAAATTAAAGAAAAAGTTTAGGTATCTATGTTTCAAAATGGTTAAAGATCAATAAATACTCATGTTATATAATATATGTGATACATATACGTTATATTTATGTAATACCTAGTCATGTTTTATAACCTATAACATATTATATGTGTGTGTGTATTGCATAACTATATTGCATGACATGAGTAGCTACATTATTTACAAAGTGTGTCTTTTGGTCATGTTTTATCTGGCAAAGGAGTGAGCTACGATTGCACCTAGTGCCGCCACAAAAAAAATTAATTATTATAATAATTAACACCCTTGGATTCATACCAGCCTAACTCATAGTTACTTTAGTGATTCATCTCCATTCAAACTCAAGCTGATTTGTCAATGTAAGTGTGTACACTGAGGGTGATGCACCATCTCTAAATGCTGTGGTGGAGCAGATTAGCAATATCTCAGGATCCCTCAGTACCCATCTGTTCTGATGACTAGCCGCAGAGATGTCAGTGGGCAAGAGACAGAGCCCCATCTGCTCCAGATCAGGGACATAAAGCTCCCCTCCCATCCCACCAAAAAGACATCAGGGGGTCACTGGGAGCAGGAAAAGGAGCCGTATTCACCTGTCTGAGCACACTTTTATGTTTTTTCCCTCTACCCAGTGCTATTATTCTAAATACTTTGCTATAAAACAGTAAGCATTTTCCCTTATTGTGTTATGGAGGAATCTGTGAATGTTGGACTTGGTTAACAAAGACTGTTACTTGTATAATTTGGCTGTTTTTTTTCTTCCTCTGTAAATCTCATTATGTTGCCCAGGCAAATAATGTGTTTCTTGTCTGGTTGTTTGTTTGTTGTGAATGAGATTACTTCCCACCGCTGTTAAATACAAGTGTTGTTTTCTACCAAGGAGCAGTCATATTATATACCGTGTTCAACAGCATTTAGTCTATTCATTTATTAGTGTCTGGAGAGCGGGGTCAGGTGGTTTGCGTTCGTTTCGTCACATATAAATCGAGGGGGCGTTGAGGGGGTGAATATGTGGGGTTTAGGTTAAGGCGCTTGCAGTAGCCTGCTCCCCTCCCCCCCAGCTTCATCTGTCTGGATGCATTTCGTTTTCACATTACAACTGCGCTAAAAACACCGTTGAGCCAGAGGTCTTTGTGTGTCCAGGAACAGGGGTTTGTGCTGATAGACTCCACTACTCCAAACCCTTTTCCTGTTTAGCATGTTTCTTTTTGTATATGCCGAGTCTCTTTAAAAACATGTTTTTACTCAGCTGAAATAATATGGTTTGCAAAAGAAAAAAAAAGAAAAGAAATGGACTTAAAATAATAAACAAAAAAACTGAAAGGAAAGCATATTTTACATGCCTCTCGTCATTCCATTCCATAATCCATTTGCAAACAGTCTAGACCTCTACATCACCTTTTTTCTTTTTTTCCCCTTTTTTTAAATAAAGACATTAAATATTTGCTAACAAGGCCGACAACTACACACTCCAGGACTTCCTCAAGCTCTTCTGACCTCTCTCCCTTGCTGAAGGCCCTTTCTTTATTCACCGCTGAGGGGTTTCTCTCAGAATGTGAGCGATATCATGAAAGCACAGCAGTCTGATGGGGCACCTATAGCTTCCTCACAGCCTAAATTTGCTCTTCAAGACTGACTAAAGAGGTTCAGAGCAGAGCTGAATTAGGCATTGCTTTTCCATTACAGTCATACATTATTTCACAGATACATAATAAATTGTAAAATTACAATTTCTGGGTGCAACTTGCACGTGAATTACCATAAGAAAAGGCATCTTCTAAATACTTACACTTCCACAAGTGTTTTATACTGTGGGTGAGTATAAGCTTCAAGTTTGTTTAACTATATGATTTGCCTTATGAATAGGGATAGAAGTTTATTAACACTGAAAACCAATATAATACACTACCATTCAATTTTTTTGTGTCAAATAAATGCTGTTCTTTTGAACTTTTTATTTAACAAAGAATTCTGAATAAAAAAAGTACAGTATCATGTGTTCCACAGCACATCTGTTTTGACACCGACAATAATAAGACAAGTTTCTTGAGCAT